ACCACCACAACTACGATGTGGCTGCTCCTACGGCAATCTACGCGTTGCAATTGTAGTGTGAGCCAGCAACTTGACGTCTTTGTACTCCCCCTGGCCACACTCGTCTCACTATCGTGACAGCGCGCAGAGAGGCGATTCAAGATATTAGGGAGTATTCCGTAACATGTACGGAAGTTGGTGGTGACACAACCTGGTAGTGAGTGATGTGTCATTCGTTGTAACTTGTGGCGCGAGTTGAGCAACTTTTGTGATGTTGAGCTGCAAGTTGATGCGTGAGTTGTGAAAATTCCAATAGATGACGTGAAAAGGCCTGAAACGTTGGTTTGTTCCAGACAGCGGATTCGAGCTGGCATTGACCTTGCTTCAGGTGGCAATCTGCTGGCATTGTAGATATCGTCCATTCGAAACGGTGGATAGGTTCTTCCTAAACCGTAAATAACAATGTTCAGCACATAAAAGCAAGCCATCTTCCCACTGTTCCCTTCAGATTCATGTGATCCTATATCACATCTTCACACACAATGCGTTCTTCCTTTGTCCTCGCCGTTGTTGCTGCTTTGACAACAAGTTCAACAATATCTGCTGACAATGACTGTCCTTGGTTGTGCCTGTTCCAAAGGACTGCTGGTGTTTAACCACATGACTCATCAGCGTGGTAGTTCTTCGGATGCGTTTCATGGTTGCTTCACTCACAAGTCATGAAGCGGACTACACAACATACATCTTAGTTCAGTGCTTCCTGCTCAAGTTTGAGGGGGCAGAACACTACTAGTAATATTGAGTCCGCAATTTTTTCGAGTGTGCTTATGAGTTACTTGAAGGTATGGGATGCAGATTGGAGCTCGTTGGCAGCCAAACCATGTCTTCGAGGTGGCTGAAATGCGGAAAATCATCCATCTCGCAGTCAGCTGTCCAAACAATAGTTTCAGAAATGGCTCAAACTTGATCCTGGGATCCCATTCCAGCCGCGTATCTGCCGTCTGAAATTTCCAACAACACGCAGTGGTTGGTTTGTGCCTGACAGTGGACTCGAGCTGGCATTGACCTGCGTGGCGATCTGCTGGCATCGCAGATGTCATCCGTTGGAAAGGGTGGATAGGTTCTTCCTAAACCACGATGTTCAGCACATAAAAGTAAGCCATCTTCCTACTATCCCCTTTAGATTTATTTGATCCCATACCACATCCTCATAAACAATGCGTTTTTCCTTTGTCCTCGCCGTTGTCGCCGCTTTGACAGCAACAAGATCTGCGGCATCAATACTTGCCAGTGACCCTGACAATGACTGTCCTTGGTTGTGCCTGACTAAGGGTGACTGCAAGAAATGCTATGACTCGAGAGCATGTGTGAGTATGAGTAGTTTGCGTCCTGGATTTAACCACATGACTCACCGGTGTGGTAGTTCCTCTTCGGATGCGTTTCATGGGCCTAGCCTGACGCATGTCACCGCACTTTGAGAGGTTATTTAGGTTGGGGAATATGTTGGAAGTTATATAAGTGTGGTTGAAGTAAGAAAAAGCTGAAAAAAGTCGAAAAAGTAAACTCATGATTTCCTGATGACTCGAGCGGCAGTGAAATTTGTTCAGAAGCAAGCACATTGATCAACTTGGCAAGAAACCACTACTAAGTCACGCGTCGTGCTATCAAGTTGATCAATCATACTGTACCGATGCGAAAGCAGAAACGCGACTCGCTGTAGTTCACTGTCGTGACATGTCACTTTTTCACACATATTCCCATGTCCTACCACGCCGGTGAGTCACGGTTAAATCCAGGATGCGAACTACTCATACTCACATCCGAGTCGTTACCTATACCAAGGGCGCCTGACAAGATGCATTTTTCTCCCTCGCAGCAGGGATCCCAGTTGCAATAGATGCGACACCTACCACTGGTGTCAGCGTCACTGCGGCTGTCAATGGGACTGGCAGATATTGACGCTATTAAAGCAGCAACAACCGGGAGGACGAAGTAGAAACGTATCGTCTGTAAGGATGTGGTATGGAATCAGATAATTCTGACGGGAATTGTAGCGAAGGAATTGCAAACGAAAAGCGGAAAGAATTGCAAATGCGATAACGCGGTGGACGCCATATGTTCGGCGGGTCTTCATGCTTCAATGTTGCGTTGGGACCAGATAAATCTGAAGGGAACGGTAGGATGACGGCTTGCTTTTATGTGCTGAATATTGTTCTGGCAGAATTTTATAGCGATATAGGAAGAATCTATCTTACGGAAAACATAATTGATCCTTCCTCATATCTTCCTAAGATCTTGTGAACTTTGTTCACGCACGGTTATACGGACAGTCCGACCGTAACGTGGTTCGCGAACTATTAGTACTAACTACCAAACTCCCTTATGACCTCCGATAGGGTCAGTAAGAGTCTGATTCGAGATCGCTGCATGCACTGACAGACATGGTATATCATTGGTGCGAGCTTATATGATATTTCTGAGGTGGGGGGCGTTAAAGATGGCTCGCATTTATACCCTGAAAATTGTGTTGAGGTTGTTGAATATTGAGAATTGTAGGTCAATAAGTACACAGTCAATACTGTGTTCTCACTTCCAGGTCCACGAGGGGCATCCCGAACTGACACGCCTCACCAGGAAGCCACCAGCCACCTCGAACCCCTCGTCATAGCATTAACAAGCGCCGTAACCGCATTCACATTCACGATATCAGATTCCACTGGGGCAACTTCGTTGCATGTACTTATCGATGATACTCCATATATCCAGGGCAAGCACTAGTACTGGCCCGGTGGGGCGGGGCGTGTAGGAATGTGGACCCGCCTGCACCCGTATTTGAGGGGTGCTTTACCCAGGAGGGTGAGACGCTCTGCGACGATGTCTTCGTTCAATCTCCACACGTCCTAAATGCATTTAAATGCACGTCTGGGCGCTGAATATGCGCCGGCGGGAGTATGAGTTCTTGGTTTGAGAGCTGCATATCCATGCGGTTAGTCAATTATATTTTCCGTAAGATGGGTTCTTCCTGCGTCGCCATGAAGTTCTGCCAAACGAGTTTTAGTTAGACCCTAACCAAAGCAGGATCACACGGAGATCCCGACGCATAGCGTACCGTGTCGCTAAGTAGACACAAACACGAGTCCGACTTGGGGAATTTTGACGTTTGAAGTTTGAAACAGAGGCAAGCTGGGCCAGAGGTACGGATTTGCAACAACAGCTGTATACTGACGCCTTCCGAATGACTGCCTCACGACTAGCTAGTGATTATGTATGCGACACTTCAAGTTGTGAAATCGTGTGACAGTGACACGCTAAGTATCTTTGCCTTGGACCACGACGAGGACCGCATAATTCTCATATTCTGATTTATACGAATCAGATAACATTGAGGGTGCTACGCCTGTTCACATAAATGTGCGAACCCCTCCCACCTCACCCTGGGGGAATAATGCATTACCATTGTAATTACAAGATACAGCTATTGCATTAACAATTGTAATGGCTAATGAATTAATTTTTGATCTTAGTAAGAGGGGGTTAGATGTTAGATTGTTAAATGTTAGAGGTTTGTTAGAGGTTAGATGTTAGATGTTAGATGTTAGATGTTAGAGGGTTAGTGGTTAGTGGTTAGTGGTCAGTGGTTAGGTGGTTAGTGGTTAGTTAGGGTTAGCCAGGATTATATTCTGCCTCATGCCTCGGAGGTTAGATGTTATGTAATGTTATGTAAGAGGTTGCTGATAGTTACAATGGTTAATGCAATACATTTGTCTTGTAACCATCATGCATTTGTCTTGTAACCATCATGCATTTAATGCATTAAAACTACAGGATAGCCTGCCCCTCCACCAATATGCAGATTTGCAGACGGAAGCAAGACTCTGCAAATTGATGGGGTGATGATCAGATATATCATGTAAATGTGATGTATAATTTTTATGGCAGATATGCTACTAATAATATGAGGCTGGGATGTATCATGGTACATCTGATATATTAATCACTGGTGGTGGGTGATGTACCACGCTCTGTTGCTATCACTAGCTGGTGTATCATCGAGTCATGGTTGACCTGTTACTGTTCCGGAATTGATCGGTTCCCAAACTCAAGAAGAACAAGGTATGTGCAAGGTGATGTTACTTAGTCATGCCTGACCCCCAGGACCTCCTCGCTTAGAAATACTCATCTGAACAGCTGGGTTTCTAACCCGAACATACTCCTGGCTTTGAAACCATCGCTGCCGCATTACTTCTCTTCCTTCCTCCCATCGTTCAGAGCACCGCATCGCTTATGCTGTTACGGGAAAGCCCGGCTTTCCCAACAGTGCACTTGATAGGGTCGATCCCGTGTCTGCTTCATGGAGCACCAGGACAATGGAAGACTGAATGGAGGCTGTCCATCCAGAATGACTGACTGAAGTTTCAAAGAAGAAGCTAGAGTCGTATATCACAAGTGAAGATCAAGTTAGAGAATACATGGTCTAACTACTGTGGTATATATAGGTATCGTCCTATGAGTTCAGGGTAGGCTTGGGTAGCCAGAAAGCGTCCCAACTAGGTAAGCGTCTATATGAGTCATAAGGACTCAGAGATAAGGGTACCAGTTCATCGGTAAGGGTCCAGGGTATGGTACCGGCACAGCGGTAGGTGTCCAAGTCAGATAACGCTATCTGTCATGATAAGCGATAGGATAAACGATAGTCAGTACCAGTGTATCGGTAGAGGCGATAAGGGAGAAGCGCGCGGCTTCTATTGATCCCGGTCTAGGTCGGTTCCAGAGCTGTCTTGCTCTCAACAGCTGTCATGCTGTGCTCTGCAGTTTAGTCACGTGCCGGTGACGTCATCTGTCATGTGTTGTGATGCGGTTGTGACGGCGATGTTTGGTGGAGACGATAGGGGTCCGAGGGTCCCTGTAACATATGCCCTTCACTGCACCAAGCACTTGACGGCGTGTTCGTCCTTCTCCAACGCTTAACGACACTCTCGTCCTTATTTCAACTTTGATAATTATATTGCAGTCACAGATGGCTAAGGTATGGTACTAGGTGACTGTGCTTGGGATGCTGTGTTGCTTGTGGAGAGCACGGGGGCAGGTACATCGTATGATGATGTTTCAGCTGCATGCTGATAATTGAGTGCCCCAGCCAGAGAACTATATGATGAGACTCTGATGCGGCGTTCTGAGTTGTCTGCGATTGTGAGTGGTGGCGGGGACTGAATTGTCGTGGGTCGGTAGTCTATGATGCGAGCACCCGATACTAATGCAAATGACAGCACACTAAATGTGCTGATTTGCGCTGGATATGGTGGTTTGGGGAGCGAGAATGACGGCAGTTGCACTGTTGGCATCGCCGTGTCAGGATGCAGAGGTGCTGTATCTTGTACTGTTGGCATCGTGACGGCATGCACCATAGCAGGTTGTGGAGGTGTGCCCTGCATTGCATGCACTATGTGAGGAGGGGCGTTTCTGTTGCACTCGAGCTGACGAAAATGAACTAGTGTTTAGAGTCATAATATAAGTTTGTACTTTGTCACATAATGCACTATTTCCCGCGTTGAATATAAGTTGTGCCTTGGTCTCGAGTTGATACACCAAATGTGGTGTGAACATCCATACTGTTTGTTGCTCCCTGGTCGTATCTCATGCCTTTCATGAGGCCGGTTATAAGAGTCAAGTGAATACCTTCGCAATATGCATTACAATGAGATTGGTCGTTGCCGTTGGTCATTGCGGGTGATGCTTTCTAAAAAGTGAGAGGTATCAGGCTTGCTGGCTGATGTATTCAAGTTGCCGGAAATGCGAATTTCGTTTCTTCTGCTCACCTTTATTACTCGCAACTAGTGTATTATAACCATCATCAGCTGATGGATCTGCATGGTTTGGTACTGCGAGTGCACCACGACTGAGTTGCAGCAACGCCCAATGGATACGTGGAGCTTTTTCCATACTTTGAGGATTATTGCAGCACCCTGACAAGCTCAGCTTTGATACAGCCTCGGTGAGGCGGCGCTGTTCATACTCTTCGTCAGTTCTCTTGTGACTCTATTACGTAACGAGGCACGAGCGAAGAACTAGAGTTTAGTCTTTGCGCGAAGCAACGGGTGCAGTACGAACCCTTTGCCTTCGTACTGCAACGGTCCCTCTCAGCTCAGTCGTCCTCAATGACTTCGTCTCTTTTCTTTTCTTTTCTTTCTCCACAGCTACGTATCCTTCACATTGCATTTCCTTTTCTATTCTCTCTCCCGGAACAACATTGAATGAACTTCCGTTTTCTCCCGGCTCCACATGGACCACATTCTCGCTGACCCAGCGCTTGAGGCGCAACCCAATTTCGAGTCTGCTGCATATGCAGGGTGGCTTAACACACTCACTATAGGAGGAACAACCAGAGAGGATGCTCTCGCGCAGATGGCAGAAGGTTGGAGGATTGAGCGCCAGGAGCACATTGACCTCTGGCAACAACAAAGTGAAGCAGATGCCCGTGCACAGCGGGATCGGGAAGAGCTCAATTGAGCCGAGAAGGAAGCCGAAGAGCAAGAAGAACGGCGTGAAGCCGAGAAGAAGAAACCCAAGATTAACGACTTTGACACCAACACAACCGTCGCAGACGTTCTCATCCCATGTCCTTCCCAGTTCGCCCTACAGAAAATAAAAAACATGGAGTATGTAGAATTATGGTATTTTAGTCCAGACGGCTGTCGCAATGCCTCTGACAACTCCAGGTCCTCTTCTGAAGATGCCTACAGCTTTGCAAAAGTCGAGGGCATGGTTGCCCTCAAACCAGTCGCATCATTCAAAGCTTTGCAAAAAGCTCTGCAAGACCACGACCTCTCCTGGCGGCAATTTGACCTGGCGAAAACCAGCTTCCTCGTCCATCTCAAGAAGTGCAACTGGCCGGAGAAGCACCAGCAGGCTCTAGCCATGTTTTTCATGCTCATTACCAACCACGAACATCGAATGCACTCACATGGGGAGAAGACCCTGCTTTGTTATGCAGGATTCGTACGTCGTGAATGGCACGACCGCCTCACCCAAAACCAGGGATTCAATATCGGTATTTTCAACAACGCTCTTTACAACACCCTATCAGACGATGTCTGGGAGGCGGAGCGAGACAAAGGCATTAAAATGGTACACCCATCACTCCCAACATCCAAACTCGTAACTAACACAACTCTTCCTTCCCTTTCACATAACCTGCTGACCCGACGTCCTGCTCCCGCTTGCTTAACTCCTGCCCTTGCTTGCTGTGCTCATACCACACCTTGCTCGCTTCACTTGCGCTACACCCTGCACGCCACATCAGAAAAGCCAGCAGTCTTTTCCAACGGGTGCAGGTCAATCCGGGCCATCAGCCTGCGCCCTCTGTCTCGGCCGATTCCGTCACAACATCCACAAGTGTGAATCCGAGTTCCTTTGGGACAAACAGACCAAAACTCGGTGCCACCGAAATGCGGAGGGGCATCTCGTCAATCCAGACGGATGTGAACTCTGCTACAACTGGCAAAGACCGAAGGGGTGCTCAAGCACCTCTCGTTCTCACGTACACAAATGTTCAGGATGCGGAGCGAAGAGCCACGGAGCTCAAGAATGTCCTCAAAGTGAGAATGTCTAATGCTATCACTCCCTATCACCCCGAAGTCTGGTTGCACTTCCTTAATTCCACAAACCTTATCCATAAATATGCACATATACCAAACAGTTTACGTATTGGCTTCATGGGGAGCATCCCCAATATATCTCACACCTACACCCCACCTAATAGCACTTCCCTCCTCGAACACCATAGCGCTTTCACTACCATACTTAATCGGGAATATCTCACGGGACGATATATCGGACCGCTATCAAGATCCGAAACCAAGACACTCATTGGTCATTTCCAGACAGCCCCCCTTTCCATGGTCCCAAAACCAGGGAAACCAGGGAAAATTTGGCTGGTACAGAACCTTTCATTTCCCCTCCATCCTTCCCCTACGGTATCTTCTATTAATTCCTCAGTTGATTCAAACCTATATCCCTGTACATGGGGCACAGCAGCAACCATCTGCCTCCTCGTCTGGTCCCTTCCACCAGGTTCGCAAGCTGCTGTACGTGACATTGCCGAAGCATATCGCACGATCCCACTCCACCCATCTCAATGGCCGGGACTCGTGGTCAGAACGGGAACCAACAGCTTTGCAATCGACTCAAGTTTTTGCTTTGGTTTCTCCCCATCTGCAGGCACCTACGGTGAAGTGGCAGATGAAGGTGCAGATATCTTTAGGTCCCAGGGAATGGGTCCCGTGTCCAAATGGGTCGATGACCACTTCTTCATACACATTCGTCGCGAACATCTGGACAGTTATAATAGCCTCTGAAAATCTCGTGCTGCCATCATCGCACAGAACGGAGGGCTCCTGGTGGACAGGGGTCGAAAATGGTATCGGGGATCCACCATGCCAAATGGCCGAGTCGAAGAGTACGACGAAGACCAAGCTTTCCCCATCCAAGATCTATCATCTACCTCACCACGGTCCCCCGAAGACGCCTTGTTCACCTACTGCTTTGACGACATTGACCGGCTATCCAAACTCCTCGGAATTCCATGGGAGCTGGCGAAAGACATTGTCTTCTCGTCATGTGCACCCTTCATTGGATTTCTCTGGGATCTGGCGACCCACACCGTCTCGATCCCACAGAAGAAGAAGGAAAAATACCTGGCGGCCATCCAGGAATGGGAGACCCAACCCACCCACACCCTACAAGAAGTCCAGCAACTATACGGAAAGCTACTCCATGCCTCCTTGGTTCTCCCAGCAGGGCGAGCTTACCTCGTATCTTTCGAATCCATGTTTTCCATCTTCCGTGACCGTCCGCACATGCCACGTACCCCTCCCAAACACACAGCCGAAGATCTCTGATGGTGGAAAGCCAACCTCGCACAATCCGACGTCTCCCGCCCCATCCCTGGACCCATTGAAGTCATTGAACCCGCGGCTTACTCTGACGCTAGCTCAGGCACTGGCATCGCGATATGGATCAAAGGCAGATGGCGGGCCTGGCGTCTCCTCCCGGGCTGGAAAGCCGATGACCGGGACATCGGATGGGCGGAAGCAGTTGGAATGGAGCTCCTCATCCTCGCACTCACTGCTCACTGCCCAGAAGGCAATTGCATCAAAATTTTCAGCAACAATTGAGGTGTTGTTGAAGGTTGGTGGAAGGGACGGAGCCGCAACAAGGCTACCAACACAGTATTCAAGCGAATCCACGAGATCGCAGCATCTTCGCAATGCTCTTTCCTCACCTGCTACGTACCCAGCGCACACAACCCTGCAGATGGCCCCTCCAGAGGCATCTATCCGCCTCTATCCCAACTTCTCCCCCCAATCCCCATCCCTCATCCCCTTCGGAAGCTCATCACCGACTTTGACAGTCCCGTGCTCCCTTCTGAACGCAGGTCTCGCAGTGCAGTCATCAAAACGCCATCAAATGCCAATAACGAGCACCGCCATCGCACCCACATCAATGACGAGCTCCAACATCAGGGAGAAGAACTCTTCAAAGCGACGCAAACTTAGTAAGTCCGAAATTTTGAGTTTCAGGCCTCCCTTCCTCAATCTGGCGCATCTAGCCACAATCTATCCCGCTAAACTCACGCCACAAGAATCTACACTGTGCCCTCATTGCACAGCAAAAGAGCGGCTTCGCCTCTGGCGCCCAGCAAATTCACGCTCAGCATCATCACCCCTCCCGCATGTCAACGCACAGTGCATACAAGACGTCATGATCCACGCATGGGCAAGCAGTACCCAAGAAGTCTACGGCAGCGGCATCCTCGCATTTCACGTGTACTGCAACTCGAAATCCATCAATGAAGCATCACGAGTCCCCGCATCTTCCGACCTCATTTCGGCCTTCATTTCCGACCTAGCAGGATCCTATTCGGGCAGCACCATAGGTAACTACGTCCACGGCATTTGTGCATGGCACATCCTACACGGAAAAGAGTGGCCTGATTCAGTGACCGACAACCAGATAATCACAATGCTGAAGGCCACCAAGAACCTCACCCCTCAAACATCGAAATGGAAGAAGTGTCAACCTTACATGATAGATTTCATCACCCACCTTCTGCAAAAGCTGGATTCCAAGGACCCTCTTGACGCCGCAGTAGGCAGTTGCCTCACAACAGCCTTTTATTCCATCGCTAGGGCAGGGGAATTCACAGTTCCCAACCTATCATCCTTTGACCCAGCAATCCACGTGAAGCGCTCTGATATCCGTGCAGAAAACGGATTGAAACGGCCTCGCAACCACCGTTTTCCATCTCCCGCGCACAAAGTCATCACAAATCGGCGGCGAAGACGTCTTCTGGGCCAAGCAACACGGCCCTACAGACCCAAGCACAGCACTGGCCAACCACTTTCACATCAATAACCCCCCCACACGATAAAGCCCTCTTCGCATACAAATTCGGAAACCCTTACCGCCCCCTGACAAAACGAGATTCATATCTCGCCTCGCCGAAGCAGCCAAGGATGCCGGCTTAGAGCCGCTACAGGGCCACGCCATCAGGATAGGTGCTACCCTGGAATACCTCCTCCGAAACATTCCATTCGACGTTGTGAAAACAATGGGTCGCTGGGCCAGCAACGCTTTTCAGCTCTACCTTTGCAACCACGCTCAGATACTCGCACCATACCTTCAAGCCACCCCAATCCTACAAGACGAATTTCTACGGTACACAATGCTGCGCCAACGTTGACGCACCACGTGAGTACTCGTCCCTTCTCCTACTGTCCTGGGTATCTGCGGTTCGCTCGATGCGTCGTCAGGACTCCTACCATTATGGGATTCACAGCTCACCTTTTCTTGCACAGGATGCAGCTCGGGACCGGGAGGCGCTTCGCGCCTTCGCCCAAATCGCTCAGACCGTCGTCTCTGTCACTCGTAGTCAGAACCCCGCATTGTAATAGTTACATCTATACATTGTGCTTCATCAGTTCCTCGATTAGTCTGCACAACGAGCGACTCGCAAAGAAGGTAAATAAAGTTACATTCGAACAATAAAACACTTGACATTTATTCTACTACCACAGCTGCACGTAACACATCACTACAGCATCAAATCCACCGCCCATCCGCCCCTCTCAGGCTCCTCAGTGTTGCTGATGATGCACACATCGAGCTCGCAAGTCCAACGTCTTCGACGGAGCAGGACATATTGCATTCACTTGCAGAGGGCAGAGGGATCACATCCTACGAGCATATTAGGCTATTAGAGTTGTGTGGAAACTGTGAACGAATGTTTGCAGCGAGTGCATTGCGGGTGCACATCTTAACGTGCTCGAAAGATTGAATATTGTTATATAGTGCCTCGGTCAAGCTTGAGTCTGGCTTATTAGATTTTTCATGTTACGTGTAGGCGAGGAGGTCCTGGGGGTCAGGCATGACTAAGTAATGTCACCTTGCACGTACCTTGTTCTTCTTGAGTTTGGGAACCGATCAATTCCGGAACAGTAACAGGTCACTCATTACTCGGACATTGTAGTTTGCTCATGTAGTCAAAGGTCATGTACCTTCTACAATGATAGGTAATCAATACATCATAACGACACTGTCGCCTGACCACCGCTATGATCGCCGCGCAGTCGAACTTATTGCTCGATA